CAGACAGCAATCAATACACTTAATTTATTATCACAATTATCACAGATATTTATCACAGTCTATTATCCTTGATCAACCCCACCTACAATCGGACAAGAGGATTTAATATAGTCTGTGCTTGGCGCTAGCACACAGGATGTAGATCACTGCCAAAAACGAGAACAACGTCGCTTAGCGCATGTACTGAGGCACGATCAGTCGAGCACACGCCCAATTTATATCCTTCGCGCCAGATATTTAGACAATAAGCACCTAGATGTTGAGGATACATGGGACAGAGATTTTTTCATATTAGGCTCAAAACGAAAATGATCCAAATGCACATAACTTCCTTTGACTTTTCACTTCTGCCTCCTCAACAACTCAAACCCAAATCTCGGTACCATCTCAACCTGCAGAAAATCTACATGACATGCTACACGTTGGCACCTCATTTCTACTACTAAATTTTGTGCTTCTCTAGGACAAGCAAACTCCACAGTTGTGCTGTTTGGCCTGGCAGTAAGGTCTAGTACACCGAGCAGCTCCCCACGTACTGGGAGTGTCGAGTACGACAAGGTGTCATAGTTGATGTCATCTATGTTGAATAATAGACCCATGACCTAACAGCAATAGTGCAAGTGAAGGAGTGCATGGCAGAAGTATTAGGTAGCTAGGCCCAGACATCTCTTGAAGTTCGAGCTTCAACCTTCAGTTTCGATCCTATAGACAACCAAAAGCAGTGTTGGAAGTCTTGTTTATTGGATCTATTTTTGCTTTTACTCACTATCGGAAGGGCCGTACTGATGGCGCTTCTCCTTAGTGTTCTCACTATCGGAAGGGCTGTACTGGTGGCGTTTTGCGTACATTTCGCCACGTTCAGCCAGTTCCATGGCATGGTCTGCGTCGCCTTGCAAAGGAATGGCGTTGATTCCAAGACTCATGAGGCCAATTATAGCGACGACGTACTTCATTTTTATGAATTTAAGGAGTTGACAAAGACGTCTTTGTTATTGGAAAGTATATGAAATTTAGACAGATTGATTGAAAAGCTGTTAGGAGAATTCTGTGAAGAGCTGTTGGGAGGATTCGGCTTGATGATGATCTTGTACTTCGTGGCCGTCCCTTTGATATTTATACCCTTTCTATCAGCACAACAACATCTGCATACTACGTAAGTTCATATTGCTCGGCCCGAACCTAACTCATCGGAGTCCGGTAGCTTTACCTTACTACTGCATCTACCGCCGTCATTGTGTAACTAGAAGGCATCTTCGCATAATAGACATGGGCTTGCTATAGTCACTGATAGGATTCTATCACGTCGCGACGACCTCGTCAGCAGTGAAAGTCCTATTAGCCTGTTCATTTCCGAAATGTAAGCCCGACCTCTTCCTCGTGATTTCAACTATTGTACTCATCCCTGGGAGGTATCACAGTTTTTCCAGGAGAAGTTCTAGGTATTTTTTGAGGCATTCTTGACAATGGCAGAAATATTCAAAGCTGGAGAAATGAGTATCACATGTAAACTCACAGAGCGAGTTGTGGTTCATTGATTATGAGGTCAGATTGCCTGTGAAATGACTTGCGACTGTACACTAGATCTACTGAAGAAGCAATATCAGCATCCCCAAAAGACCTCTTCAGACTGCCTTTGTTCAATGGATACACGGGTGAACGGCAAATCCATCAGAGCTTCCTTCTCAACCAATCGTTTGATGAAGTGCGACAATGTATTTTCTGTAATAGGATTAGGGTCGGTGATATACCTAAAGCATATGCACAAGAGTTTGTCATTGGAGAATGTACCCCCAGTGGCTATTCGGCCAGTACCATTTGGTGACAATGCTATATCCATCCATCTCTCATTTTCTCTTTCGGAACCTGAGTCACAAAAGTGGTAACCGGGGAACATGGGACGTATAATTAAGTTTTCATCTGTCAGAATACGGGTATATCTCAGGTGGTGGACAGAATCCGGGTGTTCTCGAGTACCCGGATTCTGTGATCTCAGCCAATCAGGGCTGATCGCC